TGTAAGAAATGCATCGTTCACCCAGACATGAAAGCTCTTCATTTCCTCACCCGTAGGTCGACTTTCTCATTAAAATGTTATCAGTAAATTTAATTAACCATTTAAAGTCCCCCTGTGGTGTAAATCCAGCTTTTAATGTTGTTTATGTGTCTATATGGTGTTTTTAATACGCTTTAAGACACACCGTGTGTAAGTTCATAAGTCGACAGCATTGCTGAGTATTTCCTCCTTAAAACTGCAGTGAACCATAGACAGTCTCAAAAACACGGTTTGAAATCGCTGGTGTTTCTGACGTCACAAACGACCTTGTAACCAATCAGATCAACGTGTGATCGTCAACCAGTGGATCTCTCAGCTGAGTGAGTGGAGGCGGGGCTCATTTGCATATTCATAGAACCGTGCATACTAAATGAGGTGAGGGTGTCAAATTACATTCAAGATATTTTAAGGCATGAAGACGTTTTGTTTCAAGGAAAAAACTTAAATGTCATTTTGGTGATCAAAGATGAGTTTTAGGGGATACAATTATTGATTACAGGGGGACATTTGAAATATTATTGAATACTTAATGATGGCCTGAACCGACGTCAATACCAATTAATACATTAAATAAAAACCTTGGAGTCAAAAGTTGGTCTGTCTTTAAAGATATTAATAAATTAGCACTGAAAATCTATTTCTGCATGAACAAAATAAATAGGATTTGTGTTTCTCAAAGCGTCACGTGTGGAATTGTATATTAAGATGCTAGAACAGAATATCAATCACTGAATAATGATGTAATGTTTTAAAACGATGAAAACTCCCTTAAGACCTCAATCTCGACAAATCACAACCATGATTATTAATACTGTTCAGAACTGGCATTACAGTAAAGCAGGTGTGTGTGTGTGTGTGTATCCCTGAAGACTCTGGTTCCACACGGTCCACCCCTCATGAATCACTGAATAATGATGTAATCTTTAACTATATCTAGTCCAATGAAAAATCCCTACTCAAAAAATGTGTTTGTTTACACAATTATGATCATATGATACCATGTTTGGTGTTCATGAGTGTCATAAACGTTTTCAAAGTAACACACACACAATCCCACTTGTTAGTGCAAGTTTAATGTCAAGAGCAAATATTGATCTCGTTCTGTTACATGCAGAGAATAAAGTTGATCTTGTACATGACAAATAATTCTCACCTGTCAATCTGATTAATACTGTTCATAACTATTGACTACAGTAGAGGCAGACGCGCTGGAATGTAATGAAACATGCGTGTTCATCATCAGTGAGTGTGAGTGTGAGTGTGAGAGTGTGTGTGTGTGTGTGTGTTTATCCCTGAAGGCTGTGGTTCCACACGATCCTCCCGTCGTCTCGGAGCTTCACTCCCCCGCTGGACACCAGCTCTAGGGCTGCTGGGAAGGCTCGATGCTCCGCCTCCCTGATGCGCTCTGATAGGCTGTCTTCGCTGTCAGTCATCAGGATGGGAACCGCCTCCTGAACCACGATCGCGCCGGCGTCCACTTCCTCCTGTCGGAGAGGAGTTTAACAAAACTACAGGGTTATTATTGTGAATAAAAAATATATTTTCTCAAAACTACAGGGTTATTATTGTGAATAAAACATTTTCTCAAAACTACAGGGTTATTATTGTGAATAAAACATTCTCAAAACTACAGGGTTATTATTGTGAATAAAACATTTTCTCAAAACTACAGGGTTATTATTGTGAATAAAACATTTTCTCAAAACTACAGGGTTATTATTGTGAATAAAACATTCTCAAAACTACAGGGTTATTATTGTGAATAAAACATTTTCTCAAAACTACAGGGTTATTATTGTGAATAAAAAAATATATTTTCTCAAAACTACAGGGTTATTATTGTGAATAAAAAATATATTTTCTCAAAACTACAGGGTTATTATTGTGAATAAAAAATATATTTTCTCAAAACTACAGGGTTATTATTGTGAATAAAAAATATATTTTCTCAAAACTACAGGGTTATTATTGTGAATAAAAAAATATATTTTCTGAAAACTACAGGGTTATTATTGTGAATAAAAAAATATATTTTCTCAAAACTACAGGGTTATTATTGTGAATAAAAAAATATATTTTCTCAAAACTACAGGGTTATTATTGTGAATAAAAAAATATATTTTCTCAAAACTACAGGGTTATTATTGTGAATAAAAAAATATATTTTCTCAAAACTACAGGGTTATTATTGTGAATAAAAAATATATTTTCTCAAAACTACAGGGTTATTATTGTGAATAAAAAAACCCTCAAAACTACAGGGTTATTGTGAATAAAAAAACCCTCAAAACTACAGGGTTATTATGTTAAATAAAACATTTTCTCAAAACTACAGGGTTATTATTGTGAATAAAAACAAAAAAAACTTTTGTTTTGGAAATAAAAGACAAATGCAAGATGCAGCAAATAATGTGGCGACTGGTTGAATCTGCATGAACTTTTGGGATTGCAAGATTAACATTAGTTGAAGATATCCAGGATTGTGTGATGTCGAACGCTGGTGTCTGTGAGAGACGTACGGCCACGAAGTGAACGGTGCATCCGGTGAGACGCACGCCGGCCTGAAGCGCCTGTTTCTGAGCGTTCACTCCTTTAAAGGACGGCAGCAGCGACGGGTGGATGTTCAGCATCTTCCCTGAAACACACACACACACACACACACACACATACACATACACACACACACACACAGTCAGTCCTGGAGCAAACACACAACCAGCCTAAAGATGAGCAACACTACATTTCAGAAATATTCCACATATTTGTATCATTCTTATCTTATTCCTGTCCTCAGCAGCGTTATTTTAATATCTTTTTTAAATATTTTGAAATAGTATTTTTGTTTAAGTGATTTTTTAAAAATATGTCCAAAGTGTTTTTAATTTTGGTTCAATTTTAATTAGATTTATTTTAGTACATCAAGTTACTAAATGAAAATTAGTTTTTATATATTTTATTTCAGTTGATGTTTATTTTATTTCAAGCAGTAAAATTCTAATTTTCATTTTATGTCATCCAAATAGTTTTTTATTGTTTGTTTTAATTTTATTTACATTTTATTTTAAGCAATTACATTTTTTTTCTTCATTTTTATTTAAGTAATATAGTTGTTTTTAATGTACAAAGTTTTATTATTTTAATATTTTTCATTTTAATTTTAGTAATTTAAACAAATTAAAATTGAAATAAAAACAAACTATTTGGACTTTTTTTTTTGTTATTTTAGTACATCAAGTTACTAAATGAAGATTAGTTTTTATATTTTATTTAAGTTAATGTTTATTTTATTACAAGTAATACAAATATTTCTTGGCCTCAATATACTTCTGCTGTTTTAAGGGGTTTTACTAAATAATAACAGGATGCCAAATGATACAGAAGTCGGTTCTTTAATGACATCATCCCACAGGAAGTGATTCTAGGATGATTTAGTTTGAATCACTCAAACTTTATTATATCAAATCATTAAAAAAAATAGATTTTTCTGCATGTGTCTTATGTTTTGTATAACATTTTTGATACATCAGGCTTTTATGACTCGTATACTCTGATATAGTGAGAATAAAACAGCTCACCTCTTATTCAGAGGCTCAAACTGAGCAAATATGTGCATAAACCTTCCTCAAAAGCCAGATGATCATATTTGATACTCATGATTTTTATAATAAATGATATCTGGATACTCAAGTAAACCTGAGCTGCAAGTTCATCTTGAAATATTACCAACAATATCAAAGTTATTTTGTTTACTTTAAAGGTGCAGTGTGTAATTTTTAGCAGCATCTAGTGGTGAGGTTGTGAACTGCACCCAACAGAAGTTACGGCGGCCGACAGGAAGTGATGTCGTCGTCTGAGACAGCAGAGAGTCGCCAGTTAAACAATGAGGTTTCTTTACAAAGATAAATAAAGAGATTAGGTTTACTTTATTATTCAGTAAATCGATATGTTATTGCGAATATTATTGTCACTTGTTCATCATTGTGTCGGTGTTTTATTCGCTGACTTTAGTTTCGCTTCTTTGCACGAAGAACAACACAGTGACGAAACACGTTTGTCCGTTCAGGGCCACCGTAGAAACATGTGTAAGCGGACCCGCGGTGTGTGTAGAGAGCTTAGAATGAGCGTTTCTAATAAACACACAACGCTCCTTTATACACCACTGAAAACATAGTTATGTATATGATATTGCATTTCTGTCAACAAATCCTCCTAAATATTACACACTGCACCTTTAAACCGAATCTGTGGCGCTTCATGTGTTCTTGCAGTGGTTTGACTGAGGCAGTGGCGCCCCCTGGTGTTGATGTTCACACACACTCACCGCTCCACTTCCGGACGAAGGGTCCCGTGAGGATCCGCATGAAACCCGCCAGACACACCAGCTCCACCCCGAACTCCTCCAGGACCCGGTCTATGGTGCCGTCGAACTCGGCTCTGCTGCCGTACTGCTTATGATCCACGACCTGACGGACAAACAGCGATTAGAAGATCAGAATTTATCACATTTATCACATGTATGCATTCGGCAGACGCTTTTATCCAAAGCGACTTGCACTGCATTTCAAGCTTACACATTTTACATTCTTATCAGTTCTTGCTTTCCCTGGGAATCGAACCCATGACCTCGGCGTTGCAAGCGGCGACGCTCTACAGTCTGAGCTGCAGGAAAACTTTCAATATACGCTTTAACGATGTGGAGGCGGACAGTATCGCTCACGCCAGAAACACAAGAGAAAAAAGTCTGAATTGCAAGTTATAAACTCGGAGTTGCAATAAATAGTCAGAATTGTGAGATGAAAAAGTTGCAATATTTTTTTTTTCCGTGGGGGAAAAACTTCCATAATAATCATATCCATAATCACTCCAGCAAGACTGGCGTTTATACAAAATATCTGCAAATATGAGATCGATTACATGCAAAAAGAAGTTAATATTTTTACATTTTACACACTATTGTCTGTTTGGAATCATTTTCGTATATATATATATTAGGGCTGTCAAAATAACGCGTTAATTTCGATTAATTAATCTGAGAAGAAATAACGCGTTAAAAAAAATAACGCAGATTAATCCATTCTGTTTTGACCTTTGCGGAGCCGTTCTAGCCGTATAGCCACTATCCGTGTAAAGGAGGGAGACAAGAACGCGCTGCTTGGATCATTGTTTGGAACATTTACTTATAACAAACGGAGTTCGTCAACTCTAAAGTACCACATCAATGCAAAGCATCCAGGAGTGTGTGCGTGAGTCGGTGAGTGTGTCTGAGAGAAAGCGCGCTTGTGTGTGTGTGTGTGTGTGTTGTAACTTTTCACGCGCTCTCACGTCACACAACCATTTTCTCACGCACAGAAAAATCGCGCACAAAAGAGAGGACACGGAAACAGACAGACGTTATTATGATATTAAAAAAAATCTCAGCTCTCAGATTCTGTCAATTTTATTACGAAAATCAAACAATAAATACCGTTGGCGCTTGTAAATGTAACATGACAGATCCCTATAGCGGCACGTGAACCGATCATCTCTAGCTAATAGTAAATAAACACGAATGAACAATGTTGAAAGATACAGTAGGGCAGCCTAAAACTTACCGAAATGTATATTCCTCGATCAATCAGTGTTTTTCAACCGCGAAAAGAGGTCAATAAAACAGCTGGAGAACAGTTGTCACATAACATTTAGCCTAAGTTACCTCAGGAAAGCCATTTCATGACCATGTGATAGCACGTTATAGTTGGCTATAAAAAAAAGAGCTATAGAGAGTGTTTTTCTAAATTTATGTAGCCTACTACTATATTATATTTTTTACTTAGGCCTATATCAAAGTTGTTATTTGTAATAAACATTTAATTAATTAGATTAGATTAATTTAGATTAATTAATTACAGAGTATGTAATTAATTAGATTAAAATTTTTAATCGATTGACAGCCCTAATATATATATATATATATATTTCATACAAACCCGTGTCTGAATGCCGGCCATGGACGCCCTCTTTAACCCCGTGACGCCCGGCCTGTTGGAGATGACCACCACGATCTCCGCCGAGCTCGAGGGCTTCTTCACCTGCTCCATCAGCGCCTGCAGGTTCGTTCCTGACACACACACACACACACACACGAGCAGTGTTGGGGGTAACTCATTACAAGTAACTCGAGTTACGTAATAATATTTAAATATAACTTTGTAATAAAAAAACGAGGCTTTGTCCGACTGAATGGCCCAACGTGAAATACCCTGATATCTACAACTATTTGATCGAAAGGTTTTGGACGAATACCAATTGGCCAAAGCTACAGCTACTTGCACACATAGCTAATATATAAAGCTAATATAGTTTTCTAATAGCTAACTTGTCCCATTATTTTAGTAACCGTGTGTGTTTTGATCGTAGGTGAAATGATGCCGTTACCTGATGATTCGATCAAATAGTTGTAGATATCAGGGTATTTCACGTTGGGCCATTCAGTCGGATCATTTTTCCAAAAAAAGGAAGGTAAGGACAATTTAACTTCTCAATATATCCCCTCCTCGCAGGTTCACATAGGGTGGTGAAATAAGCAATCGACATGGTTAAAGTTATGAATGTTTTTTTTTTTTACAATATCATCGCGTTCCAGTGGGCGTAGATCTCAGAGTAGTTCGAGAACTAGTCTCAATTGATCCACTTTTATGACCTGAAACAACAGTTTTTTGGGGTCGAAAGCTTATAAAAAGTTATTTCTGGGTTATTTAGCTTGTTTGCTGTACATCTTGTCACATAGCAGCTTTTAGACATTGTTTTGTTTTTTGTTATTATAAGTCATAAATGATAAGGAGGCAGCCTCTCACAATGCAAAGTCAATGGAGTCGGTGGGGTTGTTTCCCCCCCGGTGTGGGCGTGGTCTTGAGATTATGACGCGTTGCGCTCTGTCTCTATAGCACTGGTTTAGACCGACTCTGAAGGAGGAGTAAATTAGTTCCTCCGAAAGGAGTTCCTAAAACTGAAATCGTTCCTAGTTCCTGCGGTGCGAACGCGCCGAAAACCGGGAACTTCCGCCAATAATTCTAGGAACTATGAAAAGGTTCTTCCGGTGCAAAAGCCTAGAGTGTAACTTTCCCCAACCCTGATAACAGCACACACACCGGTTCCCGAGATCAGCACGGCCACTCGGGTCCTCTTGCGTGAGGATTGTTCCCCGTGAAGAGACCCGTTCTGCAGAGCGCTGGTGTCGGGAGAGCGACCCGGACTCTCCTTCAGACTCCGCTCCAGGTTCCTGATCAGCACAGGCTCCGAACCTATACGTTCAACAGCAGCAAAAACACACACACACACACAGACTCAGATCCTATATGTTCAGCAGCAGCAGAAACACACACACTTACAGACTCAGGTCCTATATGTTCAACAGCAGCAGAAACACACACACTTACAGACTCAGATCCTATACGTTCAGCAGCAGCAGAAACACACACACTT